ACGATGCGGTGAATTGCAAAATGCTGTGTCAAGTTTTGTTCAAGTGAAATGATTGGCTTACGGAATGGAGAAAGCACCCAATCACGTCAGTCACCATGGTCACATCATCATTCCATGGATGTACAGTGCGCTGCACCTCCGACTAACGTTTCAATATTGCATTTTGTAAGCATTTCAGGGACTTGGTGTAAACGCAGTCTCAGGGCCTGAATCGACCTGTGGGCTTCGCAAACGCGAATTTCATGGTTTCAAAAGAATGTTGGAAATCAAAAACCCAATCAGCCAATCGCTCACTTGACATGCAATTTTGCAGGTTAGGTATAGGTTAAGAGTGCCCGAAAACCTTTCAAATTCGATTCCAAGAATTTGGCCACTTCGTCGTTTCTAGCTTTCTTGCACCATAAATGTATGAACTGTTCATCTATTACGTCCAGCAAGCACAATCCACCACCCATTGCATTTTGATGTATTTTGATTGGCTTAGACATTTCGGTAATTTGACGCTCAAATATACGGAATGGTCATGCGATTTCGTATATTTGAGCCAAATTCCGAGCGGAATTTGGCCTTCACGAAGTTCGTAGCTGTGAGTAACCCGAAGTTTGATTTCGGTAATTTCAAATTACGGGTTTGCTAAATGTCTCTAATGAATACGAAATAGATCTCAGAAATTTTGTGAAAATTTGGTAGTTTATTGGTGACGTGCATCATACCACACATTAAGTAAACTAAAAATCAGACATTATTATCTGTCAGCCCCAAAACGCAATGGCCCTAACCAAATTTGAGGCACCAAGGTCAAAGGGTTGACAGGATTGTAGCTGTAAATGAAGTGTGTTGACCATTATTGCGTAAAATACCACAAACCTTACTAGTATGCGATTAGCGCGCACAATTTCATTCGCGTTGTCAACGATGGTTGCTCAAAGTATATTCAACTAAGCCCCATCGCTGACACGGAGCACCACAACCGTCTCGTATGTTTCGCTTCGTTGCGAAGAATAGCCTCATCCGCTCGAGGTTGCCAGTCCGAGCGATAAATGATCACGAGATATGCCCCAACGCCAAGAGTGAGACCAACAGAGAGGCCAAGCCAAGTGCCATGCAGCCCCCACTCAAACTGAAATGCGAACAGACCCACCAATGGCAGCCCCACCATATAAAAGGCGATAGCATTCACGATCGCCCCTGCATTCATCACAATATCCACCCTCAGTGCCAAATTGTCAAGGCGTATTTAGATCCATCGTACCGATCGTCAGCTGCCCCATGCCCCGCAAGATGCTCTGGCTCGTGGAATTCAACCCATCAACGACAATGAACCCTGCAAAGATTGCGACAACACCTTGGAACGCCCTGAGGTGTCAAGTTAGATGGAGTACTACTGTAGGTAAGTGAAATCAACCACGTACTCGATAGCGTCGGGATCGTTGAGGAACAAGCCGGGCACAGATTTGTGACTGGCCACAAATACAGCAGCCACGACCAAGACAATGCCGACAGTTGCAGCCAGCGACGCGTTGGAAATGACTCTGGCGCGGTTGGGCTCGTTCGCTCCCAGCGCATTGCCCAGGCGAATGCAGCAGGCCGTGCCCACGCCAATGGAAATGGAGTACACGGTCACGTTGATCGTAAGCAGTACCTACATACAACCAACGAAATTGGCTTTTTCTATGTCTAAAGCTTGGGTGGCTTACGTTGTGGACAGCCAACGACAGCACAGCGCTTGGCAACCACCCCACTGTGATGGATGCCGCGTCGAATGCCAGCTGCTCGACCATCGTCATGATCATACCTGTGGAATCGTTCAGCAATGCTAGCTACTAAAATATCTGCTTGGTGGGCAATAGGTTTTCATATACCAGGAACGCCAAGCTTGAGGAATTCTGGAATGTGTTTCCACGCCGTTTGCCACTGCGCCATCCACGAGTGGTTCTCGGGCCACCACACTTTGTGCACGGGGTTCCATAACATGTACATGTACGCAAACACAGGCAGCAAGTTGTAGCAAATAGTGCGTCCCATGGCGACCCCAACAAAGCCTACCAGTTTTGCGTGAGGGTTGAATGCAACTGGATATGTATATACTAGTATATCATTTACGCGAATATATCGAGGCTTGTCCAAAGCTGAGAGCAGCCCAATGACAACCGACAGACACCCCAGTCAAGCTCATCACTTAAAAATCAACAAAATTTAACGAAGTACTCTTAGTAGTGAGCCGTACCAATCCAGACAAGGACGAGACGACAACGTAAACACCAGTCAACTCGGATTCCACGTGACCGACGAGGACTGTGGGGGTGGTAAACGGGATGGACATGAGAACTGAGAGAATCTAGTGGCATCGCCAGTGATTATTGAAAGGGGAAAACAATAATAAAAGATTTCTCCAAGGCAGGTGTTTCCGTCACATTTGGAGTTGGGGCGTGAACTGTAGGGGATTGAATGGTACAGTATCTGGGGCGTCACCACGTCCAGCACTTCCTTGCTAAGACGGAGGGGGTAAGTATCGATTGCGCAAGGTTTATTCGATAACTCAGTGGTTGCCATTTCAAAAAGGGGATGGGGTAGAATATTAAGGGGCCCCGAGAAGTTCATATAACGTCGCGGGGTAGAACATAACAGGGCGAATCAACCACGGCTTGGTAGTGTTGCGTATCGAGCTTTCGAAGGACTTCTGGTTGCATGTTAGTCCACGCTGCCAGCCGTTGCCCTCGCGCTAGGTTGAGCGTCAACGCATTTTCACTTGTATTACTGAGGCACTCATACATATCTTTGCCCCGTCTAGTCGCCAGATGCGAAGACCTCCCCCCCGAAACTAATGCAAAGACAGAGATCCACGTAGTTTTGTATTACAGAGTAGCTGAGCTAGCCGAAGTGTTGTTTGCCATCGAGGCACTGGAATGGTCGTTTCGTATAAGCAATCGATGTTGGTGGTGGTGGTGGTGGATGTACGCTTTCCGGTCCTAGCTACTCTAAGTGCACGGTTACATTAAAGCGAGCTGAAGGAAGTAAAATGGGGCCCACCTAAATGTCCAGTTTTTCGATGTCATGTTTATGGCAAAGAGACCATCCATCTTGCGAAACAAACCAGTGGACTTCCTCACTATCAATTTTCCTCGACACCCATGAGCTCTTTCCTCATCTGTAGCATTGCCGTAATCTGCGCGATAGTTGTGTCCATGCCATTGACGGTGGCTACTACGTCGGACAAGTGGGAAGCCCCTGTTGCCACCACCAACAAACGCGTGATTGTCCTCCACCACCGCCACGGCTACATGTCGACCCAAAACGATGTGATATCGTCGGAGGAACACGCAGGGCTGCGTCGCCTGATTGCGAACGTCAACACCCCCGAGTCGAATCGCCAAGGGGCCATTCCGGCCGAGTACGCCGTGAACTTGATGCAACCGTTTGGAGGCGCCAGCGCGTCTGCGGAGGCATCTGCCCGCGACAAGCAAAAGGCCGAAGCAAGCAGTCTGGACAAGGCGCACTCGGGCATGTCCGCCCAGAAGAAGGCTGATCGCGGGGATATTTTCTACGAGAAACTGATCATTTTCAAGACGAGCCACAACCGCATCAAAGAAAATGCCGAGTCGGACAACAAACGCTTGAGCAGCAAAGACATGAGCCAGGAAGTTGATCGTGGCCAAAAGGCCAAGCAAATCCAAACGGTGACTTAAATCACGAGAACCCCCCTTGCATCAAAATGGCTAATTATGTAGCTAGTCCTGATGATGATAAACATGAAACAACGGTTGAATTGAAGAAATGTCTTGATCGAGTTGGCTTGTCCAAGGGCCGCAGAGCGCCGTACGACTTCTGGCTCGACTTGCAGTGCACCTAATTGCAATTTGGATGGACATTTAACTTGGAATCGATTTATATGTACACTGTGACCTTAGTGTGCCACAATGCAATGTAATACTGTAGTTTAGATTCGTAGTACCTCAAAATTTTGTCAAAGTACTGGTACTTGCAACTGAACATTTCAATGGAGGAACCTTCCGCATAATACTTACAGTAACGTTACTACATGTATCAGCCAACTAACTACCTTCAAGGTACGGTAGCTCAACGCTTCATTCTTATGACGCCAATCCGGCATCTGAGGGATAACCTCATCGACCACACATTCAATCTACCCCGGTAGAATCCACGATGATGATAGCCAGCAAATGCTCCCTCTGCATTTGAATACACAAAAGTATAATTTATATTGGAATGTATCTACATCATTGCCGGATTGCTGAGTGAGTCCCACACCGTGTCGACGGACTTTGCCGACACAAACAACCTCCGGCCGTCGCGTTCGATGACATTTCCTACAGCATCCACGAAGACCAAGAATGGCACCCATGGGACGTTGAAGGACGCCACGAGCTCGGCTTTGATGTCACGGTTGACATACGGGAGGGCAGGAAACGGCATCGAGTCGAACGTGGCGTCGAATTGGCCTGGAGACTGGTCGCTGGAAATGTATACGATCTCAAACTCGGGGTGCAGGGCTACGACTTTGGCGTACATGGCAGCCAATACCGGCGTGAATTCCCGACAAGGAGTGCACCAGTGGGCACTGAAGTAGAGTCCAACGATGACCTTGCCTTCTAACACGGTGCTAGTAGGCACGGTGCTGCTTTGCTTGGTAGAGTGAACGAGAAGCTGGTCCCCAAAGAGTTCTGTCCACATAGTCGTCGATCGTCAACTGGCGGTGGCTCCGTGCGTACAGTATGTAGATCGGGTTGTGTGGTGTTGTGATGGATGCCAACTGCGCAATGAAGGAGATGGATATAACTGCTGTAGGTAGCTTCAACCTTTGATTTTGGACATTGCGTCATTTGATTGGTTCAATTTGCGAAAACTTCAATCCACCTTGAAATAGTGTGGAGTCAGCAAATTTTGACAGTACAGTGGTGAGGTGCATATCGATATTGCACTGCCCGATCTTTCACGTCATCGTCGTATCCTTTGAACAATAAGGCTACGGGCATGCATCTACGTAGGTATTTGCATGAGGGGCGCTGGAAGACCCAAGAGCATATTTGAAACTCGATTTGGAGTATACAATGTATATACGTAAAGTCGAAGGACATGATTACAGTACTGTAGTCTTTCCATAGAGTTTGATTGGTACAATAGTATTCATCCCACCTTCAACCCGTCGACACATTTCCGCTAACGTTAACGTTATCACATCGTTGGCGGGAGGCATGTCATTATGTTTCGACAGTGTCTGTAGCTAAGGGCGTGTTCGGAGCGACTTTTGTGTCAGCGGTTTTTGGCTTTTTCCACAAGCCG